AGGCGGGTCCCACAACCGCATACGCGGCCCGCCCGGCAAGGAGCCGGGAAGTGTCTGCCCTCTGAAGCCGCCTTCTTTCACAGCCACATCTGCGGAGAGCAGCGAGAGGCTCCGGGACCAGCTCCGGAACCTGAGTTCCCCACGCCCCAGCCCTGTTTTTCAACTTCCCGCTGCTTTCAGCTTGCAGCGTTGGAGGGGCTGGCTGTCAGTTCCCCGGAGATGCGGCACGGCCATCTCCCGCAGCTGGGAGAGGCGGTCCCTGCCGCTGACTCCGCTGGCACGTTCCTCGGATGTTTGACTCGCCGGCAGTACCTCTGGAAGGTGGCACGGCCCTTCGGGAGAAATGCCACATATTTCAGTACAAAGATATAACAAACACATTCTCCTGTGCAGCTGATGAAAGTGAATTCATTCCATAACTTGCACAGTACTCACCAGGATTTGCTCCAAACAAAGCAGCTCCCAGCTAAGCAGACTGTCCCCTCACAGGACTCAATTCTCCTCCACTAGCAGGAGCGCTTGTTCAATCCTGCAAGCTAATTACCTTTCAAATGCACCAATTTTTTCATGTATCCCTAAACCAGACTCTAAAATTCTGCAGATTTGGGGAATGCCTCTAATTCCCTTTACACACCTACCCCTGGCATGTGGATGCAGAGCCTATGTAAATGCTGGGTGATGAAAAGCGATAGGAAAGATGTGTGCCAATGTCTTTACCAACAATTTCATGGGTGAAGATATGGTGGTTAAGGTCTTCAAAATGAGTCTGAATGTCTCTGCCAGCTCCAAAAAGCAGGTTCATTATGGGGCCCAGACAGCTGGGCTCCTGAAACAGGCAAGAAGGGTCTGCACAAGGTGGAACTTCTGAACTTTGGGGTAAAATGACAGGAAGAGGGACACACACGGCCGGGAGTTTAGGATAAAAGGGAGGCTGTGCCCTCCGAAACCTCGGGAGAGAAACTACACAGAGGTATGCCCCAGTGGGCTCTCTCGCTCTTTATTCAAATAAGCTTACAGAACTCCTCTGTCTGCTTTATGGACACTGGCTTTTCATGGAGTGATTTTCCATACAAAAGCAATGCACTGTCACTAAACACTGGGCATCAGCGTGGGACCTTACATTCTTATATGCTGAGATCTGCTTTCACACAGCTTCTGAGAGTTTTCAACTTTTTCCATTTCCCACAGTAAGAAGAAACCTCAAAGAATGTCTGTGGCTCTCGTACTCCCGTGGTTCCACTTGCAGCCCTGGATGCTTCTGCCAGCTTCCAGCTGTGCTGTCACACTGCTCTGCCAGCCCAGCAGACACACTTATCTCTGTGGCCTCTACTCTTGTGTCGCTGTGACTGGTGATCACAGCCCTGCAAACAGCAGCACGGAGCCAAATATTCTTTCTTTGATGTTTGACATCCACAGAGTCAACATATCCAGGAAAAAGACTGGGCATGGTTTCCTGGCTAAACTTGTACTTTTGAATAACTGGTATGATTTCATCTGGAAATGTGCTGAGGTTCTCCAACTTTCTGTTTTGGATAAGAAGTAGGAATTAATCTAGTTTTAACCAACAGACTGCGTAGAAGAGTGGGAAGGGGTTGTTCAGCTGCAGATCAGAAGAATAGAGCCTTTACCCACTGCTGCTCTCCAAAAGCCATCCCCAGAGCTGCTCAGCAGCCTGCAAACAACTGCTGCACATCAAATGCAGGCGCAGCTGTTCTTCCCTGCTACCAGCATCACATCAGATTAGAGATAATTGATCACAACAATTTTCTTATTTTGTATAAAACCAGTGTCAACCATCTGAAAAAGAATAGCTGGTAGAGGAGTGGAAGACAACCTAGATATGGACAGTGAGTTCTGACTGCAGTTCACCAGATCACTTTAGGGCATGTTAAGATAGCAAAATGCCCAACCATAGAACAAAGAAATCTGGCCTTCCCCCACACAGAAAGCAGAAGACATACTTTACAGAACAATTATCTCTGTATCAAAACAGTGATTTGCCGTGATGGCAAATGTTTGCCAGGCCAGTCGCATTTCCACATCCCTCCAGAAAAAAGTGAAGTTCAAAAAGGATTTAGGATTCAGAAACTGTCAATCTGTTCTCCACGGAATAAGAGGA